CGCATCTCTTGCTAGCTGCAACTCCATTTGAGCTTTGGCCTTCCTGACTTCATCCCTGCACACCCAAGCAATACTCTTATACTCCTCCCTAGTTGTTTTATGTCCAAGTTTCCACTTCTCATCAGCTTCCTTTTAATGACTTAGTTTACTGAAGAGTTCCCTGCTAAGCCAAGCTAGTCTTCTGCCATACTTGCTAGCCTTCCTGTACATTGGGATGGTTTTTCCTGCACTCTCAGTGAGGCTTTTTGAAAGTATAGCCAGCTCTCTTGGATTCATCTCCACATCAGACTGGCTTTCAAGGGGATCCTGCCCATGAGCTCCCTGGGCAAGCTGAAGTTGGCTTTTCTGAAGTCCAGGGTCCTTACACTGCTGTTCTCCATCCTTCCTTTCCTCAGGATCCTGAACTCAATCACCTCGTGGATTAGGGCACCATTTGTCCTTACTTAACTGATGGAGAGACACAAACTGCTTATTCTCTAGGAACACAGCATCTGATGAAGTAAGCTACATTTCACAAAAGCTTCTGCTACATATACATATAAATACACATACACACTTTGTTAGTCTGTAAGGTGTAGATCTGCCCTGCTTTCAGCTGACTTCAAATCAGCATGGCTAACTATGTCTCTGTAGTCTCTATATTCATTTGCCCTCATTTATCACAGTATCTGAAGATCTCTCAGTATTTAATACATTTACCCCCAAAACCTCCCTGTGAAGTAAGGACATACTTTTGTCCTTGGTTTACACAGGAGGAAGTATATACATCAGACCTGCCTACAGCTGCTCAGGAAACCTGATCTTGTTGCATTAATATGGATGCCCATGTACAGAGTGAGAAGCAGATGCCACACTTCCTGGGTGCAACTACACATGGAATTAAAGTGAAGCAATAAATTCTGGAGCTGTTTGGGCCAGAGTAAACTGCTCCCAGGTGCAGCATTGAAACATGCGCCTGGGACAGCAGCAATTCAAGCTGGGGTGGAGTAGGACCAGGCTGGCAGGGGGGCGAGGGCTCAGCCCTGCGCTCTGGTTGGCAGCGTTGAGCAGTGGAGAGGCTGGCTGGGGCACGAGGGTGCTAACCCTGAGGAATTCTTTGGCTAGGCGGCAGGCAGAGGTCTGGACCCACCCGGTCACTGTCTACATGTGTGTTTCAGCACAGTAAAGGATCCCGCCAGAATACAGTACTGTTTCTGAGGGCACGTGTATACAAAATGTTACTGCGGAGTAGACTAAATAGCTCCTCAGTAAATGTCTCAGCATCTACATGTGCAGGGCAATTAGGCAGGAGGACATTAATAAACTCTGCAGCTGGCTAGTACTTGTAGAAGTACAAGTACTATCTTGCTGTGGAGTTTTTTACCCCGCAGCACCACATGTGTAGACGCTGACATGGGTGGCTGGTGCAAAAAGATGCTTCAGTGCAGGGGCTGCTTGCTGGCTAGCCCCACACCAAAGCACCCTTATGACCCCGCCAGCTCCTCCACAGCACGCTGAGCTGGGCAGGATCAGTTCTGGGCTGGCAGGCTGACCCCCGGGATCCCCTGCCAGCTGGGACTGCTCCAACCTGGCTCACTGTGCTGCAGTCCTGGGCACACGTTCAAACGGCACACCTGGGGGCAATAAACTCCAGAGCAATAAACATGGAATTTATCGCTCCACATTAATTGTACATGTAGATGTTCCCCAACAGTACCATCTTATGGTGGGGCTAATTAATTTACTGCACCCTGATACTGGTGCACGTGCAGACAGTGACACTTTACTGTGGAGCTAATTAGTCTACTCAGTGAAGCGCATGTGTAGTTGCACCCTTTGTGACAATTCAGTGGCCTGCTAAATAAACTCACAAGCACAGAAAGCAGGGCAGGAAAGACACTGGAGAGGACCTGCAGGGCACTTCTTGGGTGTCTTTGAGATACTGTCATTTTTCTGAATTTCCATTTTTTTTCTTTGTAAGGATAGAGGGAATCAGTGATGGCAGAGAAATAAAATGCTGCTGTCCGCACAGATGTCACGACCCAAGAAACCAAGTTTCCAAATTAAAGATACAGGCAAAAGAGCCCAGCAGGAGATACTTATCTTTCTTTAAACATGATTATCACTGATTGGAACCTAAATGCCTTTATTTAGTAGGAGTTAAAGAAAAACTATTTTTTGCCATGTTAATGCATGCTCCAGGTAACATGCTGAAGATGCCATGCTATGCTGTACTCACAATACTGTGCTAAATAACCCATCATTTAAACTTTATTCCTAAGAGAAATTCCTTTATTAAAAACTACAGTAGGTCGCAAGCTCAACCATTTTAATAAAGTGGGTATCTTCCAGTTCTCGGCTTAAGCACATGTTGGTAAATGAATTCAAGAAGAATATATATATTTGAGATCAATAACAAAGGTGTGAAAGCCAGTCCGCCTTTACAGGATAATCCTGGCATGCCAGAAGTTGTAGGTAATATTAAAATGTATTGGCAAGCTGGCAGTTTTAATAAAGCAAGAGAGCTAGACAGTAAGATCTAAAAAGCATGAATTCTGGATCTCTTGACTATATAGAAATGCAGAGGATGCTTACTGGATTTGAAAAGTGTTCCTTTTTTGTCAGCTTGGACTGGCTGATGAAGTGAGGCCCAGTTCACGAAAGCTTATTCCCTATATATCTTACTTAGCTAGTCTATAAGTTGCATACCTACAATGCTTTCTGCCTGACTTCAAGTAAAATGGCTAACTACTCTACTTTGAAAAATGTTGACAGGCAAACCAGTGCAATTATTTTCACTCTAAATGATTTGCAAAGCCATCAAAATCCATCTTAGATATTAGGCATTAATAAATAGCCATCTCCACACTTAAAATTTAAGGGTAAAATTTGAGAGGGGATCCTAGCATCTGACCCCACCACTCTTTCCTGCCCAGGGCAGGGGGGCGGACTTGGTGATCTAATAGGTCCCTTCCGACCCTAAAATCTATGAAAACTTATTTCATATATAAGAATTGGGCTGGAAGGGACCTTAGGGGGTCATTTAGTCCAACGCCCTGCTCAAGGCAAGATCATCCATATGCAAATGATCCCATATCAGTCCTTGTCTAACCTATTCCTGAAAGTACACAAATGACCCTGCCGTGCAAGACACATTGCCCCAAAACACCAGGAATAGCCTAACCAGCCACAGGTAAAGCAGGGTGACAAGGACATTATCCACGCACGACATTCTGCAAAATCTGCTGTGGCTCGCAGGGATCTGGACCGTGGACTTTTGGAAAAGAGCTCGATTTTCACAAAAACAGGATTTCATCGCAATCAGGTGAATAAATTGGGGTTATTCCAGGGAGATGGGGGAAACATAGGTATTACCCCGCTGTGCCCATTTAAGCCCTGTGCATCACATGGTGTTGCCTTTCCCCCAAACTTTATTCTTTCTGGCTAAGGCTGGTTAGAGCTTCTCTGCGTTCACTTGTAGGTGACTGACAGCGCTCCTTGCCCAGGGGCAAAGGTGTACTAACTCCACGTGCCAAGCTCTGAAATCAGGTCCCTGACACTCTGTTGCATGCTTTTGATTCCCGTCTGATTTCTCGGCCTTCGCTGGTCTAGCAATGAACTCGTTTCCAGGCTCTGTCTATATAATCCTGCTTCACCGTGAGTGCCGTGCACTGTAATGATACAAACAACCCTGGGGTTGCTAACAGCATTAAACAGAGAATATGCTGCACCTTGAAATGAACTCCTTCAAAGATAAACACACACACACACATTTGTGCCCACAGGGCATGCACCGTGCACAGCTGGTTCAGAGAGGCACAGATTTTAAGACAAGAAAGGATCATCTAATCAGACCTGCTATATAACAAAGGCCACAAAATTTCATCCGGAGTGTCCTGCGTCCAGCCAGCAACTCCTGGCTGAGCTAGAGCAGGTCTTTCGGAAACACTTCTGATCTTGAAAGATATATTAGCTTCTTGGCACCGTGACTCCATGTCACTCTGAGGCACGTGCCCACCTTTGACTCGTGAGCTGAGTCCCAACATTATCCATAACACAGAGAGGTGTGCATCAATTTGTACATCTCTCTCCTGTATAATATGTCTACCTGTTGTATAATAAAGCATTTCCCACCCTGTGTAACTGTAGGTCACACCAATATTTCTTTAACATAATCCCCACCTGTAGATACAGTATTATTAACTGCAAGACCTATGCTCAGACAAGCAAGGGCAGATAAAGACTGGTGCCATGCTCCATTTCCCATGAACACTATCCTGCAGTCCCTACTCAGGCAAAAATCCCAGTGAAATCAGTGGAGTTTTAAATCCCAACTACATCAATCAGCGGAGGTTTTGTGCACTCGCATTTAACAGCTTTTCACCCATTCGGTCTCATGCAAGTGATAATGAAGATTTGATTTGATTTTGCTTTTTTAAATTCATCTCCAGACCAAGAGCTTAAAAAAAAAATAATCCAAGCAGTTGTTTTTGGCCATGCTATTTTCAAATAAGATTAATGGGGCCTTATATGGTATCTTCCTCTAGCTCCAATGATAACAAAACACAAGTTGCCTTTAAAAAGTGCTGAGCACCATTTCCTGGGCCATTATTTACCAACTGCATCATGCGTGCTGGCAGGGCTGCTGTTTTCGATAAGCACTATTGCTTGATTGTAAAGAAACACTCCAATAAGAACAGAGATGCTTAAATGATGCACTTTTATGACATCTTTCCAAGAACAACAGTAGCTAATTGCTCAGTTTCCTACTGGGAAATGTCTCTTTAATATGTAGATCACTAGATGACTACTCTATTGCAAGGTGCCAATGCTACAGTCATTTAATCATGCAAAAGATTTAAGCTTTCACTTAGAATACGCTTTATCATCCTTCCAGGTAGGGCAACAGCACAGCAGCCCACATACCATCTGCTCACAGAAATAAAACAGCTTTAAACTGCTTTACTTGTTTTAAATAATATTACTGAATGTATCTGTAGGGTTTTTTTAGACCAACTTACTTGGTGCTGACTGGCCTTAGCCAACTGCTCATTGGCTGATTCTACATTAGAAGATGCAGTCTCAATGTTGGCTTCAATACTATCTGCAAATTAAGATAATAGAAGGTAATTACAGGGTACAAGCCTAGAGGAATCATTCACATCAAAAGCAATGCAGCAATTTCCTGGTGGGCACGGAGGGACTGGGAGAGTCTCCACCGCTCTCTGTCTACACCTGGACTCGGTCAGAGGCAGAGCCACTGATGATGATCCCTGCTTTATCAGAGCATAAGAAACTGGAAGGCTTTGGATCTGACGCAAGGTCCAGTGGAAGGGCTCCAAGAGACTTCAATGGGCATTGGATGAGGATCAATTTATTGGACTGATCAGCTCCCCAGAGGACAGTTAAATTGATCTGTGGTGTCCAGGGGAAAAATCACAGGACATGCTTCCCAATTTAGGAAGGCAGGGCTGGAAGGGGCATCATTTGTCCTTCAATAAAGACCTTCACTTATGTCAGTTCTTGGCTTTTGAGCCAAGGGGAGGGAAACAATAGGGGGAGGCAAATAGCTGATTTATTGCTAATGAGTGTAGCAATGAGGGGAAAACGAATCCCTGGGTCAATCAAAAAAAAGTGAGCTTTCAAAGCGACACTTGTCTCCACCTAGAAACAAATGTCCTGGTTGAAACAGCTGCATTTATGACCTAGATGGGGCCTCAACTAAAAATCTCAGAAACCATGGCCAATTTTGCTCTTAGGTATGCACATGCAACAACAGCTTGCCTCAGTCGGAGCTGTGTGTATATGCTTTAGGGCAGAAATAAGAACACTGGGTATAGATAAATCAGCTGGGGAATTTACTACAGACATATTCAGGAATAAGATTTCATGGCCCGAACTTACTCTTAATAAAATAAATAGGGAGACTTCCATTGGCGTTATTAAGACTTGGACTGGGTCCCTGGCACAGAAAAAATATTTAATTACTTTATTTTTAATTTTTTTTTTCTTTCAAAGGGAAGAAAATGAAACAGATTGGCCATTCCTACAGGTTGGGGAGAAGAGATGCTTCACAGGCTCTTACACACTCACAGATACATTTTAGAAGACTTGTTTTATTCTATTTGGTAGATTAAGCTATTTTGTCAGGTTGTTAATATCTTTAGGTAATTTTCATAATTTAATTAAAAAATAAATGGAGTTTGACATTATAGACCTATTCAAAATAATTCATCACAATGCAAGGAGACGGTGTTCTGTTCTCTTTATTTTTTTATTATACATCGCAATACTAGCAGTGAAGAAACTCTATGGCTACCACTGCCAGGGATTGCTAAATTATAATTTTAATGGCCAATCCCACGTGCCCCTGCCATTTTTACTAAGGCCCTGATTGCATCTGAAGGGTGTCTGGTATTGTTCTATTCTTCCCAAGTGATTCTCTTTGAATAACTGATATTCAGTAGCAACAGCAAAAAAACTTAGTGGAGGAGCCTAGGGGGCAGGCCCCAGGTGCATGTCAAAGTTGGTTTTCTGGGTACTTAAGAAAGTTGTTCTGATGTACCACAGAATTATGTACGTTTGGATATGTATATGTATTTATACAGAAGTCACCTATAGCCTTGCACTGATTCTAACATACCGCTGGGATACTGACGGATTCTTTTCTCTCCCTTTTGTTGTTAATATGAGATCAAAATGACATTAAATCATATGCAAAAAAATGCAGAAAAACACTAAGGGTCTATCTATATGAGGCTCAGGGGTCCTGTTGGATTTCAGTGCAGACCAATTATCTGTGGAGGTACCCAGCCCCCCATATATTAGTTGACTGTGTGGAAGCCCCTGCCACCACATCTTCACCACCACCATAACACGAGCTAGCTAAAGGCTGCATAGATGTATCGGCACATCTTCCAAACATACCTCCTAGTTGTCAAACCAAACTCTAGGATTCAGTGCTAGCCCTGGTCTTTTGCCTGTTAGGTATTTAGTAGGCCTCTGCGAAACAACAAGTTTTTGATTCGGATTTGGCCAATTCAGATTCAGAGATTCGGTGCTTATTCGGAGATTTGGCCATAGACTATAATGGGGAATACCTATAACTTTGTCATTTTTTTTGCAGATTTGGATGAGAACAGCAGTGGTGGTAGCTCCTTCTGAGTCCATGAAGCCTGCCAAGTTTCAAGGAAATAGGTGCAAGGATTTCTGTGAAAGTGCACGTGAAACTGTTGAAAGCAAAACACATATCACTTGTGTATGATAAGGCAGAGCGGGATGAAAACAGCAGGGATGGTAGCCCCTCATGCAGGCATGAGGCCGGCCAGGTTTCAGGCAGAGTGGTGCAGGGGTTTCTGGGAAAATGCACCTTGAGGCTCTGAAAGCAAATTAAAAAAGCAAATAGGTGTGGAGTGAGGAGGGTGGCACTCACTCCATCTGTACATGGAGTTTGGGGAACCCCACCAATGGGAGATTCATGTTCAGGAACACCAGCTGCTCCACCAAACCAGGATCCAAGTAGGTGGGGTGGGGTGTCACAACATCATCAGCGATGCTGAACACCCTTTAGCTTGGAACACTGGTTGGTGGATAGGACACGTGTTCCCGGGCAACCATGGTCAGGTCCTGCCACATGTGGCTGCTGGTTGCCCAATAGGCCAAGGGGTTGCAGTGCAGCAGCTCCATGTCCTTGGTGAGATAGGTAGCTACTGAGGTCTCTGAGCTACCTGCCTGATGATGGGGTCTGGTGGCTCTGGACCCCAACATTGAAGCCATGCCCTTGGCCCACATTGGTAGCGGCTGTGATGGAGGAGATTGGCTTCTGGCTGGAGTGCTTGGGTGGAGCAAGCATCTCTGGGTGACCTCGCCCACCTTCAGAACATGCCCCCCTTTGTCTCCGCCTTTCCCCCACTGGTCCAGGGTGGCCTGCCTCTGATTCTTGGGGACGGGGGCTTTGAACCAAGAGGGGGACTTCTTTCTGGGCACGTTCCCACTGGTGCCAGGCTAAGGAGGAACAAGGGAAAGGGAGTGCTGCCTCCTGAGATGTAGCAGCATTGCTGTGGTGGTAAAGTGTTTTACCTCTTTGCCCCGGATGAGCTGCTTCCAGCAATGCTGGCAGGTAGTATACCTGGGATCATCTGCCACCTCAAAATGATCCCACACTACACTACCCACCTGTATGTGGGTTGAGGGTGAGCATTTTGCCTTATTCTCCTCTTCACTAGGCAGAGGCACAACAACAGGAGGATCTGATCAACCTGCCCCCACAACCTCCTCCAAAGTGTCTTCCAGAGAAGGACACCTGCCCCTAGGGGAGCTTTGAGGGGTGTGGAGCACAATCTCAGATTCCTCCTCCTTCCCCAAAATTTCCTTCGCTATGGCCCTCAGGTCCTCTGCTTCCAGATCCAGCTCCTCCTCTGGTACTGGAAGGCCCATGCTGGGAACTGAAATTGGGGTAGATAATGTCATGCTGCTGCTGGTTAGTGGTGTTAGTGGTGGTGGTGCAGGTGCAGGCACTGCTACCACCTCCTTGCTCCCACAAACAGAAGACTCATCACCGCCAGGAAAGAGGGTGCATCTTTTTGGAGTGGAGGAAACTTGCAGCTTTTCCTCTGCCCCCTCTCCTTCTCCTGCCAGAAGACCTGGCACCTGTCTTTCCAGCACACTTCATAATGTTTGGTGTGCTGCAAAATGTGCGTGCGTAATATATGTTGTGCTTTCCTGCACAGTGATGACACGCTGTCAGGGAAAACACAGGTTTTTGTGTGGGGGAAAGAATCAAGACAGACTAACGAGAACAAATAAGATGATTTGGGGGGAAGAATAAGTTGAAAGGAACGGATAGGGATGACAATAGGGATTGTAGGCAAGGGTAAGTAGGAAAGGATTGGATACAACTTACAAGAAGAGAGACTAGCTGCCAAGAGACTAGATAGCAAGCCAGAGCCTTTCAGACGCTGCTGGTCTGAGAGAGAGACAGCTCACAAAAGGCACAGATCACATTAGACACAGCTTGATATGTTGTTTCTATGTCCCTCCCCCCCAGCACTGTGATTGGAAGGGAACTCAGAGAAAGTTCACAGTCACTGGCCAGCTACAGATGTCAATATGAGAGCAGTCTCCCCCCACCCCCCCCAGCCTTTTCCCTATATGGAAGATCACCCCATCCCCCTCCCTCTTCTCAGTTTCTGTTTCCTGCAAGCCTTCCAAATCTCCGAATCTCTCTGAATCGATTCAGAGGCTTCCGAATCGATTTGGACCCTTTAACGGGTCTCCCGATTTTATTTGGATTCAGAGATTTGGCTGCCGAATTGGGCCAAATCTCCTCCAAAATGAATCATCTACCGAAGCTTCGCACAGCCCTAGTATTTAGATAAGAAGCACAGGTCTAGCATTCCTAACCTTATTTAGAACCAAGCAAGTGGGGTAAGAGATGCAGCCTCATGGAAGACAGTGTAGTTACATCAATTTACACCAGGTGAAAATCTGATTTTATCCTGACCTCTTAGAACTTATGTAACTGAAGCTCCTCAAGGTTTTGCACTAATGTGATGGTATTTTTCGTGTCTGACAATACCGGTATAGGCAGACACACTGAATGGGGAGACAGGGGGTGGACAGATGGGCAAACAAAGGATGATCAGAAAGGAGCTACACAACTTATCTGGAGAGATGATTGGATCAGAAGCATAAAGGGGGATCAGGTTGTGAATTGCAAGCAATATGCTCAAAGAGGAACACTACTCTTTGCATAAAACCACTACCTACTTGACTAGTGATATGGAAAGTTTGAGGAATTCGACTGCAGTCCAGACAAAATAAACAAACTCATTCCCTAGGGCGACCTATCACCTGAACATGTCTCACCCCTTCACGTGTGAAATGATGCCTCTTAAAAGATCTCTTCTGCCCTGGAGTAATAGGAAAATATATACACCCCATGAATTTTTTGTTTGCTTGTTTTTGTTTTTTCCCCCTTGAAGAACAACCAGCATCGTGCTTTGCAAATATCAGACACTATTTTTCCACAATGCAACCTCCCTGGCTAGGTACGGCCACG